TTTTTTTTTCTTTGATTTCCTTTTAAGGAAATTTCTAAATGTACTCGCACAATTTCTAAATGTACTCACACTTTCTTTCTTTTTCACTTCTTTCTTTGGTCTCCCGGATTTTATATCATCTGGTACTTCTGCATTCTTAATGGATTCACTGAATGCTACATTAGTTCTTGTAGACTCACTAGCATTACCCGCTTTTTCGAAAGATCTACCAAGGTTTGTCTTTATTTTTTTTCCTTCATGTTCCACATCCGATAAATTAATAAACGAGAAATCAATAAAGTCACTATTTAAAACTGAAGCCAATGACACTTTAATGGCCTCACATCTATTATCTTTAACATCTTCTATGTTATAGTTCGAGGAACTAGGATTATGCGTTGATTGATCGTATGTTAAATTATTTTCTAATTGTCCAGCTTGCTTTTTCATTTGGTATGCTTGTGACCGTTGTGATAGTTGCCTTATATCATCGCCTTGTTGTGATATCTGTTTATTTTGTTTATTTTGTTGATTCTTCTCTTGTATATATTGTTGATTCTTCTCTTGCCCATGTTGTTGCTCTTGTCTATGTTGTTGATTCTTCTCTTGTCTATGTTGTTGATTCAGTTCTTCATCATCATCCGTTCTTTTAGCATTAAATTCAACGGTTTCACTTCCGGTTACTTTAACGGAATTATTGGATATTGTATTATTCTCTTGACTCATAGAATGATTACTTTCAGGATTTATTACTTGCTTATCAGCATATTTTAGTTCTTCTGGGTCATTTACTAATTGTATATCATTTATTTTCTCATGCTGTACGACTAACTGTGTAGTCACATCAATTTTACCCACATAATTTTTATTTTCTTCATCCCCATAATATTTATCATCGGATTCCTCTGCTACAATTAATGGAGATGCAAAAGTGACAGTCTTTGTTGAAATGTTGGGAAGCGAGTTATCCGATTCGGTATCGTTTTGTGAGGATGTTAGCTTTAATCCAAATGTATTAAAGGATTATATAATTATTAATTTTTATGTGTGAGCTAGCAATATGCTATGAAGAGTTTCACTTACATTGATGTTCCGATGTTTATTCAATCTTGCTAGCCTTTCGTATGGTGTCTGCAAAATCACGTGAATGAATTAGATAATAAGCAGATAAAGCTTTACAAAGAAATTTTATCGCATACTTCAATATTTTCAGCAGGTATATATCCGATTTCATCAGTCGGTAAAACTTTAACTAGCCACCAATAACTATTTGTGTCATCCAACAAACTTAATGAATCTCCTTTCACAACGCTAGCTTGACCTTCAACTATTCTATTAAAGTTATGTAAGGCATAGACTAGACTAAAGTCAATTTCTTCTTCAATAATTGAATGTGAATGTGAAGAAGATAGAGAGTCGTCATCATCGAAGCTTGAATGATTCTCGCTGTTATTATCTACTAATGTTGCAGTTTTATCCTCTGATCCTGTACGTACGTTTATCATTTATCCTTTATACACTGATAGAAATGTTATTAAATACTAATTTATTCCATTTATTTAACCATGTTATATTCTACGTACGTATGCATTAATGGCTCTATTCAATTTGCCGTTAGATATGCTAATCTAAAATTAATTTCCAAAAGATTACTATCAGCAGGTTACGGCACGATTCTCCGAAAGTCATTTACCCGACAGGCCACTTACCCGACATCACACAGGTGACAAATTGCTAAAAATATATACCTACAGCTAATTAAATGCTAAACCTAACTTATGTGATGTCGGGTAAATGGCTTTCGGGGAATTGAGCGACAACCCTATCAGCATGCATGTACGTACATACGTACTGTACGTACGTACGTACGTACGTTGTTCTAGAAATTATTTCTATATTAGATATCTAATTGACGGAGCTAATAAATATATATATAATATTATATAATTCCGTATAAATAGAGAAAAAGTTATGTACGTACACCCTATAAAAAACATTGTTCTAAAATTATTCGGAATGGACTCAATTTTCCGAATCAGGAGTTCATTTTCAAAACGGAGTCGAATTTCCAAACAAAAATTGGATAATTCAGAATGATTCCAAGAGATTTTTTTCTATAGTGGGTACGTACGTACATTTATATACATACAACATCTTTCTTTTTTTTCCATATTTGATGCAATGCAGTTTTTTCATTTTCCGTGTCGTCAGTTCTATAAAAGGGAATAAATACTATTTATACCAACTGCCCAGGATACGTATAACTGATCTATCACCGTAACATAACTTTCATGTACTTGTTTTAGAACGAAACCTTTATTTTACGCATTGTTTTGATATTTAAGATTAAATAGGATAATACTCAATTACCTAATTAAATAGATATATGTCCAATAAAATAAGTACATGAAACAGTTACATAGATGTGGTTGGTCATGGATAGTAAAAGTATTGGCGGACGTATGCACGTACGTACATAGTGCACATATATCTTGCATATATTTTTGTCATACTAAAAGTACAACCATTGTGCAAAATCAAATAAAATACAGTATGTATTATATATATAATAAATGTTCATTTAAGCCATTTTCTCGTTTAAGATATTTATTAGGCAAATTATTGAATATATGCGCTCCGATTGAGTCCTTTTAATCAAGGTATTTTTAGATATGTTTTTAGGTCTATAGAGTTAAGGAACATTTATTTATTGAATGGATAGGATCAATTATTGTAACATTTTTACACCATATATGTAAAGAAAATGAAAACTTAGGGCGTTCTCAAACGTCTTAATCAATGAGTCAAAAAATAAATGTCGCGGCTGATGCTGAGATTGGCTAATGCTGAGATTTGGGTCTCAATATGAGTCCACTAAACCTACTAAAATCCACATATGAGTGCTGCCAAGGGAAAGCCTGTCATCGGATTTCAATTATATTTTATGTCCAGTTTGTTCTCTAAGTGCCGTCTAAGGGAAATCTATCATCGGGCATTCAATTATATTTTGTGATGAGTCGTCACAAAATATAATTGAAAACTCGATGACACATTTTCCCTAGACAGCACTTAGAGAACAAACTAGACACAAAATATAATTGAAGGCCCGATGACAGGTTTTTCCTTGGCAGCACTCATATACTCTTTTATTTTACTCTTTTATTAACAATTCTAACCATGAATCCTAACCTCTCCCTAAAAAGAAACCTAAAACATTTTTAAAATTTCATATCAAAATAGTGTCAATTCTCAGCATTAGCCGATCTTAGCTTCAGCCGCGACAATAAATTTTACTTAGCGGAAACTATTTAAGCGGGACAAGTGCGTTTGTCATTGTGATGAATATTTAAATAGTAATCGTAGTTAGATAAAATTTATTATGCGAATAAAATATTTTTGTTATTTAAAAAATGTTAAGTGAATTTGTCATTTCAATTTACATACTTTTTATCGTAAACTACCTTTTTTATACATCTAGCTTGTTAAAATTTACAATTAATTGAGTATTCAAAAAGATTACTCAAGTAACTTTGTTATGAATTCAACTCTCATCATCAAAGAATATTTTATTCATTAACACCTTTAAGGAATTGTTTTGCGATCCTTCCAAATTTATTTGTTCCGGCATGCTTCTATTCGTTATTTTGTAACTTTGTGTTTCCTCATGAGATGCCACATTGCCTATTTTACCCAAAAAGAAAATCATCCGTCAAACCATTTTTATTTATTATCCTTAACGTTACGTGAGTAAGAGCTGGTCACGTGATAATCGATAATTCTTTAAAGTTTATTTATAAGCAACTTCCAAGTAGATTATATGCGACGGCCTTAATGTTTTCACAGTAAAAAAAAGTTTTTTTGTAAAAAATCAAACTCAAATTTAATTGGTATATTTGTTTTATAATACAAACAGAATTGAGCTAAAGTTAATTGGTACCACTACATACTACAAGTGACTTCTAAGTAGATCATGCATGACATTTTAAAAAATTGTGAGAAGATCATATTCAAATTTAATTAGTATATTTGATTTATAACAACTTTAAAGTAGATTATTTATGGCTTTGTGCAAAAAGATTTGCACCTCAGACACTGCATTTGGTACCCCCCTAGAATTGTACCCTATCAGGTTAAAACCTCATTACTGTCGTTTAATTTCAATTATGTTTGTGTAGTTATTTTCATCCAATAAACATGACCCTTGTCT